TATACGCCGTAGAAACATGAACGTTGACGACCCAAATTGGGATGGTATGGTGCATTCCAAAGAACTATTCTATGCAAGATCTTTGGAGCCGTCCGCGTTTGCTATAGATATCGCAGAAGATGGAATCACGAACTGTTTGAGCTGTACGATGGCATGGATATAGTTAAGCGCACAAAAATCCAACGAATGCGCTGCTTAGCTTATGTGGTTCGCATAGAAAGTGCTCCAGCGAAGAGCTAATTCTGTTCGAGACTCATGGGTGCACACTGGAAGCAAGAGCACCCACGCAACCAATGGAAGGACCAAGGGGATAGCGATCTGTCTTCTATTGGGATGTAAAACTGGTGTAATCTTGCAAAGAATAGGGGCAATCGTCAAAGTTTTGTTTTCTCGATCCAGATCGTGCTACCGTTGTTGTGCCAAGGACGAAAAGTAATATAGTTTATATATTGTCATCCTAAAGACACAAACCGATACATCGCTGTGGTACCAAAGAATGTGAATAATACGTTTTATATATTCCCACCTTGAGGATTAGCCGTAGATCCTAACCCCTTGTATTTGTTCTTTTAACCGCCGTTCAAAATCTCATTTGCTGAACCATTTACTGCAATATGCTGAAGCGCTTTTATCATTTTGTGCCATTACAATATTACAATTAATATTGCACCAACATTTACCACGTCTTTCTAATTTTATGAAGGACCTACTTTAGTTAGCTTATCAAAATGAACCGCCAACTAACACTTTCTGAAGTTACAAAAAAATACTTAGGGACAAGACAAGCTCAATTAAATGATAACATAATCTCCTAAATGCCTTTGATGTCACTCGCCGAGTTACACAAAGCGCGCCACTCAACACTTCCCTCCCCACAAAACCTCCACTACTCTCCAAACAAAACTACTGTCCCAASGATTGTCGAACTTTTTAGAAACTCACAAAATCAATTGAAGTTAATTAGACAATTAAACAATTTTCACAAAGCCAAACGATTGATAGCTATCAACAAGTTAGGAAATTTACTTAACATATGTACTACTCATTAAAGAGAACGCAACAATATAGCTGAAGGGTGGGAACAGCGGTCGAGGGAAAGCGCTCAATATGGGCTAGTAAGTGGAAAACGAGCGGCACTACGCTGAGCGTGAGCGCCGCAAATGAAGATAAGCCAGTTGACGACCAGAAAGGTGATAATATGTATGGGTGTGTGTATGCTTAGTTAGTGTATGTGTGCGGCTGTGTAATTGTATGTGTGTTTATAGTAAAATTTCAATACCTTTTTCCATTAAATGTCAAAGTAAACAAAGAATAGCGSGCTAAGCCGAAGAAAGTAGATAAACAAAACCGCTGGCGCGACAGCAAAAACAAGCGGCAAGCTGACAAGACGCGCCCAGCTCACCAAAAGGCTGACAGCATGAATTACACGAGTCTATATATAATATGTGAATGTGTGGGTGTGTGGGTGTGCGGTTGCCTTTCATATCCTGCACGGAACTTCAAAGTGCGCTGAAAGCCGGCAACAAAAGTGCGAAGAGAATTGATAGGAAAGAAAGCATTCATATTACAATTGCAAAGGATATTTCGAGTAGCAGCAGGAACAAAAACAAAAACAATAGCAGCAAGCAACAACCATGCGATTGCGGCCAACACGGCTGACAATAGTCGAAGCGCACTAGGCAAGTGACAGGAGTGCCCAAGTGGCGGCAGCAGCTGTCGGATTAAATGGCATCAATTGATTGACACACAGAGATAAGCCAATTGCCAGTGCGGCGCTGTCTGTCAACGTAGGTACGACGAAAAACGATAACCAGAGCAACGACGATGACGACTACGACGACGAGGACTAAAGTTGTTGAGCGACCACTAACGATGTTTGGTAAGCGGATGGAGGTGTGCAGTTGGCGTRACGATGGCAGGACTTAAGTGCAAAMGCATATATGTGTGTAAATATTTGATAACGGCATTGCGTAGTGTCTGTAACAAAGTAAAGAGTGTGGGCARCTGAAGTAAGGCCGCTGCTGTGACAAAAGTCACAAGGGCTTTGCTTGTGAAAATAAAGCGATTTTATTATGACAGCAGCCGCACACAATGCGCAACAGGATGTTGCCGGCCAAAAGAGAACCATAGAAGATTATTTTACTTTTATACTTCCGTCGCCGCGACGCGCTGCCTTTTTATTCTTCAGATATTCTAGCAAGACTGCGGCAAGTAAATTAGCATAACAAAAGGYGGCAGATAATGCAAAGTAAAAGTATTCAATTCTAAGAAAGTGCAAAGAAGAGGATAGGTGCAGTATATAGGAACCTAAAATGCAGAACGTCGTATCATCAAAAAGAAATGACAATTGTTGTCAGATATAGTAACCAATGTATAACCATTTYATAAGGAATTTTGATTCAATATGAGTGTACAGTAACCGATATATATCCATTTTATACCGAAAATATCGTATCGTCAAAAAAAAAATTTAAAATCGTTGTCAGTTATAATAACTAAAACTCTCATTTTGTTTCAATATGACTGTATGATAACCAGTAAATAACCATTTTATAACAAAAACAATGTATCATAAAAAAAAATAAATCTCGTTGTCAGATATGATAACCAATTTTATAACTAAAACTCTCGTTTTATTTCAATATGTGTGTGTGACCAATATATAACCATTTTATAACCAATTTTGATTCAATATTGGTGTACAATAACCATTTTATAACGAAAACAACGTTTCATAAAATAAACTTAAAATCGTTGTCAGATATAATAACCAATATATAACCATTTTATAACGAATTGATAACCAATATATAACTGTTTTATAAGCAAAAAAAAATCATCAAAAATAATTTCAAATTGAATTGTCAGATATATCCGTAATAAGCGATATTTAGCCATTTTATAACCAAAGCACAAATTTTGTTTCAATAGGAGTAGTTTCTCTTATACCGTTTTTCCGTGCTTGTGAAAAGCGATGTTACGTAATTTTGCATTTTAGGTGARGATATTACAAATATGTGTGTTAGTAAGTGTAAGACGACATTGTGGCCAGAAARCATTGTCTTTCCGTTAACTGCATGAGTGAATAAGCGCTGCGCAGGCAATGCAATAAAGGATGAAAGMAAAGATGAAAAGGAAATGCGCGAAATGCGAAAAGAGAGTATCAGGATGGAAGTATAGAAGTAAAAAGAAAAAACAAATATAAAACAAAAAAAAAATTACAAAAAATAAAAAAAAACTTACTTTGGCTTAGCTACTTTAAAGCAAGTGCTACCGAGACTTTCTTATAAACTTAACTGTAGTACTTTAGGTATGAAAAGAACTTTTTTTTTATAGACGGACATAATATTCGTTTTAACCAGCTACTTATTCTTAGCACAGATAGCTTTTAAATATAAGTTTGTATGATATGTCCTTCCAGGAATGATGGACAAAAGAGTGGTATTGGCTTTCGTTGAAGTATGAAAGTGGAAGAACACAAATTTCTGCTGACACTTGAATTATTGAGAAAATGTTAGAGAATATATGAGTCATGAGCTACCAAAGGTGCATGTAACGAAACAAAAATATTTATAATGAAATATAATATATTGACTAAAGAGTCACAGGGAACTAAAAACAAGTATGTAAAATCCTAATCAACAAATAAATTCTACAAAGTTTATAAAACAAGAAAAATACACTTCACAGACGCATTTTCATAGCATAAAAAGGTACAAAAAAATCTATACTATTTTTGGTTGACCAGTTTGTATGATAGCTATATGCTATAATGGTCCGATCTGAACCATATGTTCGGAGATTATAGCGTTTTCTTGAACAATAATCTATGAAAAATTGCGTAAAAATGCTCCGATCTGAATCAAATATGCGAAGATTTTAGCATTATCTTAGCTAATAATCCAAGCAAAATTTTATGAAAATAAACTGACAAACAAAARAGTTCTTCATACAAGTACTTAATTACGACCGGTCAGTTTGTAGGGCAGCCATATGCTATAGTAGTCTGATCTGAMAWATATTTTCGTAGAACGTAGCGCTRTCTTCGTGAATACGCTGTGCCAAATTTCGTGCGGAAAATTTTTCAAATGAAAAAGTTTTCCATACAGAAACTTAATTTTTGTTATGAATATATTATAGTTATGATGATGACTGATGACTGATGACTGATGACTGATGACTAGTTCTATTTCTTACAAAAATTGCGTATATTTTCAAAAATCGCTGTTCTTTAAAAAACTAATCAATAATAAATGTACTCCATTTCTGCTACAAATATCTCATATCAAYAACATGAAATCCCTATCGAATGTTTAACGATACAAATTCGGTACCCCATGTGGTATGAGTAACTATTTTGTCATGTCACTTAATTGCTATTTCGCTTATAGACAATTAAGTTCACCTGTGTGCGTATAAGCAGATAATCTTTTCACTCCCTATCAACTTATAGCCCGCCTCCTTTGCTCTCTTTCGCCAATTAAACATTTATTTTTAAGCTTTTTTATCCCCTTACAAAAGAGTGGCGCTGCGTTAATCTTATTATTAAGCAGAATGGTGTTGTTTTTGTTGTAGATGTGTGCTCAAAAAGATTTCTTTATGCTTTGTTGCAAATAATTATATRTGATTGAACAGCTTTCTAATTACTATTGATTCTTATTTTTATGAAACCATGTTTGCTTTCAATGAGTAAGAAATACAATATATGTATGTACTTATATAGTGAATAATGATTGCTAATTATATCAGACCGCATCAAAAGTTTTAAATTAGGCTTTAGTCTTTTTTATATTGTTAAACTTGAACAAAAGCACTGCAATCACAAGGCGCTTGAGAAATTTAGAAACAAATTTTAAGAGAATTATTTGTAAATAGCTGCWTATGTCCTATATCAAGGCAAAAATCTTTCCTTTTTTTTCAAAAAAACCAAAATTATTTTAACATATTTTTTTTAATGATGAAATAAAAATGTGTTGTTTTTTGCTTCCATATATTTACAGAGTCATACAATCATCACATCCTGTATGTAATACCATAATGCTCTTTGGAGTCATCATATGCCTGGCATCAGTCATACTCTTGGGTATGGATGGGCGATTTGTCAGTCCACAAGAGTATCCAAAAGTAAGTGTTGAAAGTTGGAAATATATGTATATATAGAGCTTAAAAATATAGAATTTCTTAAAGTTACTAGTAAGCTATTACGATAATGGTCCTTGAATTGATATTTCCAAATTATGATCATATCGKTTCGCTAGCCCCCARCAGTATATTGGACTTAATCAATATGCTGGGTCTAGGTGACTATTTGTGATTTTGGTGATTACACAATAGACCTAAGGTCGCGGTGAGTTCCTGGCCTATATAAGTTAAGTAATTAAGARCTTTTACTGGCGACCAATTTTTATTTTCTTGAGAATATCACTCAAAATTCTTAGAAAAATAGAATAAAATTTTAAAAACAAAAATAGCTTCGTTCAGCACGTATTATATTATTTCAATATTTCTGTATATTTTCTCTTTCTCCCTCTCGCTCTTTAATGYTTCTTTACAGATATGTCAAGCGCGCGCTTGGCTTCTAACCACCGGTTTTACATTAGCCTATGGTGCTATGTTCAGCAAAGTCTGGCGTGTGCATCGTTTTACAACAAAAGCAAAAACAGATCCAAAAGTAAGTAATACAGATATAAGAAATATTTTAAACAAAACTTTTTAAAATACAATTCACTGTTATTTTTAATATCAAAGAGTAGTTAATAATGTTTACTCTGAATTTCCAAATGAAAAGGCCCAAATATTTTTTTTACTAATTATTTCTGAAATTACACAAAAAAAAAATAACATGAATTTAGCAAATTATTGCTCACTTACTTCACACATATAAATGCCCACATGCTTACGTTTTTGGAAACAATTTCAGTTAAATACGATAAGAGCAAATATACGCATGCCACTTGATTAAATCACATTAATACAACTCCAAGCTGGCCAATATAAACGCTTTATTCCACATTAATTAATTCACGCAGTTGTGGCCAAGTGCTTAACCAACCAATCAATTCAATATAGCGAAATGCAATGCAGCAATAACAAGCAAAATACATTGCCCAATAATCTCACATATAAAGCGTAGATCACTTCTTTAATTTCGGSCGATTAATTAGTTTAAATTGATTTCAAATGATAGCACTTAACGGGGAGAACGTCACACGTGGTTGAAAATATTGTGGGAACTATTGCATGAACTAAATATTACATCGAATACCGAAATTATTTTTTGACGGTTAACCAATTTTTT